AAGTCGTGAGTTTGGCAATACAGGATTCTGATTATCCTGGCTTTCAAGACTGGAGCTATATTTATTGGTGACTTCTCTCAAAGGATCCTGTGACAGCCAAAGTAGTTTTGTCTGGGAATTCACTGACCTCTGAGGAGATAAATTTTATTGAACCCACTACTGCATAAGCTAATCTGCCACACTGGTTCTTTGGCCTAGGTTTACCTTAAGTTTTTCAATGCTTTTGCACAAGGAAATCATAGAATCCATCATGAACACTTGCAATAAGTACTGATATAGGCACTATTACTGTCACCAAACTGGAACAGCCTATCACCTTTCAAGGTGACCTTCTAGAGAACCTTTTAAACCTTGACCTCAGTGCCCCAGTCAATGTGCTATACGTATCCTCCCTGCAGATGGGAATGGTGGATCTCTTGAGAAGAGGACCAGATAGTCTGATGGGCAATCCTTAGTCTTTTTTTTTTTTTGCATTGAAGAACTGGGGGGGTAGGCCAGAGGTGCAGGGGGTGAGAGGATTCACCAAACACAGAGTGGGGAGCAGAACTGGCAGAGTTACTCAAATACACTGCTGACGGGAGCAGCAGGTGAGACAGAGAGGTGTGCTGTGCCATATATGTGTTAGCTCCCTGGCTGGATTGAACTAAGGACATAGCAGTGATAATGCTAAGACTAAACCCATAGCAGTGATAGTGCTGAGACTTAACTCTCCCACCAGGGAGGCCTACAATCCTTCATCTTATCATTAGTATCTGCCCACTTTGCTAGTTCAACTGCACTTGTTGTGGTTAGCTGTGCTCTGAATGACCTATTTGAAGTCTCCACATGGACAGGCATGGCACCTGGTGGATAGGGCACTTAAGGCTATCTGGCTGCCTATAGTAAAGACTAAAGGCTTTGGCAATTTCATTGATATTTACTCACCATCAAGGGCAATATACATGGGCATGAAGTTTACCAACAAAGTTCTACAACACATGGCAGACTTTGCAATTAAGTTTAACAAGAATAGCTGTGGTGCCATCCCCAGCACTCTGGTAATCCATATACCACTGACACCAAAACAGGCCACTGATGTCTCCTTGCCTCTCAATATCTTGGATCCAGTCATGAAGGTGGAACCTCTGAATAATCTGCAGGTGACCATGAAAAATAAAACTGCTGCCTTCTACTTCAGCTGCCTCATCTCACTCAAAGTGATTTTTGTAAAAGATGGCAAAATGGAACACCAGGTGTTCTTTGCAATGTGGAAGGACATTCCCAATGAAATGAACTTCAATTTGAGATTAAGGAATGCAATCTGAATGCTCACACTGTTTCCAGCAATTGCAAAACAACAATGTTTATACTATTACCATGAGGAATGTGGAAGGGCAGGACATGCTGTTCCAATCCCTGATGCTCAGTAATGACATTTGGATTTTAGTTGAGCTACATATTTATCCAGGAAACCTCAACTGTATGCTGTTGCTGAATTTTAGAGCTCATGAAGTCTCTCAATGCATCTATCAGGTCTGTGATAGCATTTTGAAAAATTAATAGACTGGTCTGGTGCCCTTCTGTCACCCTGTGAGCAGTGAAAGCCACAAACTCTTAATGGGAAGAAATTCATTTGTAGTGTTGAATTTGAACCCAAACACACTGAGACCACCCACCAAGGTAGCGACTAGTCTAATCTGTGCTAACATTAGAGCACAACCTGTTAGATAGTTTTAGCTTCTGATGAACATTTGTAACCACTGCTTCAATCACTTCCCACCTCTTGCCACCTGCTGCTACTATCCTTACTAACAGGTTTATCCATACTGTGCTAATAATGGCTGGCATTTTCTAGTGTGGTTTTGATATTTTGCAATCAAAAGCTAATTTAAAAAGCAGAAAAAGGCAAAAATATTAAAGTTATGTAAAGTGTCACTGAAACACAAAAATATATATTGGTCCCATTTGAAAACTGAAAAACTTCTTCTAAATAACAAAAAACAAATCATACCTAATTAATTAGGGAGACAGAGAGATGACACCCTGTAACTGCAGAATGCACATTCTTTTCATGCACATGAATCATTTACCAAACTATAGTATATAATATGCATAAAATAAGTCTGAACATACTTCAAGAAATTGAAATTTATAACACATGTTCTCTGATTTGGACCAAGAACTCATAACATAGGATGACTAGAAATAGAAAAATAACAAGAAAGTCAAAAAAAGTTTGGAAATTAAGCAATGCTATTCTAAATAATCTAGTAGTCAAGAAAGCACAATGAAAATTAGATAATGAAAATACAACAAACCAAAATTTATGGGAAGTAACTAAAGCAGTGTGTGCTGATCATTATTTGTTGACTTTCAGCTCCATATTCTGCCTTTTTTGCCTGCTTTGTAAAAACAGGTTTGGACGCTTTAAATATTTTTCCTTGCCAGCTGAAACTTTATCATTAGATGTCACTGCATATACATTTCAGGAAGGAAAACTTTTTGCTTCCTGGTTCTGTTGTGCTTCCTAGACAAGTTTCTCCAGCACACATTGCTTACTCCAGCATCAGGCTTCAGCAGTGCACAATGTCCAGCAGCTTCCTCATGTGGTTTTATAGCAAAATGCCTCCACAGAGACTTCTACCTGCAAAGAGTTTTCCCTGGCACCCTAAAGGGTATATTCCCGGTATGTTCCAGATGGTGGATTTCCAGTCCATTTTAGCAGTTTTTAGTATCACGGCAACTTCTCTGTATACAGTGAGCCACAGCTCTGCTTTTTACGAGGTCTGGTCCCAGGCCTGTGAAAGTCTCTTTTTTGGGTGTGCTATCTCAGCTCTTAAATAATGGATGTTCCCTATATTTCCCTATATACTATTTTTATTATTTTTCATAATCTTCTTTACTTCTTGCCAACCAACCCCTCAATACTGAAATCCCCTGCTATGGTTAATAATTCTTTATAGTAAACCTTTTCTCTTCAAATTATTATATAATTCCTTCTGATAGGACAAATTCCTTCACAGTACTTAGAAGAAAATTGGCTTTAAATGCTTACATTAGAAAAGGAAAACAATTAAAAGTCAATGTCTAAGTTACCAACTCAAGAAGTTTGAAAAGAATGGAAAATATGAGACAATGAATATAAAGGTAAATATACTGATAAACTAGAAAGCTGATAAAAATAAAGCAAAATTAACAAAGTGAAAAGTTGGTAATTTAGAATACCAGTAAATTTGATAAATTCTTTGCAAGACCAACCAAGAAACAGAATGTACAAGTTACTAATATCAGAATGAAATGATGATATCACTGCAGATGCTACAGAAGACAATACAAAGTTAGTACGAACAGTTTCTAATAAATTTATAAATAAATTTGACAACCTAAATAAAGTGGATGCTTTTCTTTCAAATCACATTATCTAAGTTGTAAAAAGAATAATCAGGAAATCCAAATATATGAAATCTATAACTAAAAACCTATCCCCAAAGAGAATTTCAAATATATATGTCTTTAAAGGTGAATTCTCCCAAAATTTAAAAAAGAAATTATACCAATCTTACACAACTTCTTATAAGTAAAAGAGGACCTTTTTTTATGAACAAATAACTCAATCCACAATATCTAAAAAATACTAGCAAATCAATATGAGAAGATACATAACTATATGAAAATAAACAGTTCAAACAAAATGAACAAAAACTTGAGCACACATTTATAAAAGAATGAAACTAGACTACTATCTCATACCATACATAAAGATCAACTCAAAATGGATAAAAGACCTGAATGTAAGACCTGAAACTATAAAATATATAGAAGAAAAGATAAGCAAACAGTCCATGGCATACATCTCAGAAACATCTTGAAAGACAAAAAATGAAGGAAAAAAAATGAAGCAAAGAAAGAAGGAAAAGATAAATAGCTGAGACTACATCAAATTAAACTAAAAAGCTTCTGTACAGCAGAAGAGGCAATAACCATGATGAAGAGACACCCCACAGATTGGGAGAAAATATCTGCACTCCACAAAACTGATAAGAGACTGATATCAAAGACCTACAAAGTGAGGGGGGAAAGGAGGGAAGGAAGGAAGAAAGGAAGGAAGGAATCCAATTAAAAGGTGGGCAGAAGAGCTAAGAAGACATTTCTCCAAAGAGGAAATGCAAATGGTCAACAGCATATGAAAAAATGCCCAACACCCCTTATAATCAGGGAAATGCAAATCAAAACCACAATGAGATATCATCTCACACCAGTAAGAATGGCTCACATTAAAAAAAACTAACAATAACAAATGCTGGTGAGGATGTGGAGAAAAAGGAATTCTTTTACAGTGCTAGTGGGAAAGCAAACTGGTCCAACCACTATGGAAAGCTGTGTGGAGGACGCTCAAATTTCTAAAAATGGGTCTACCATATGACTCAACAATTTCACTCCTAGGAGTCTACCCAAAGAACACAAAAAACATTAATTCAAAAGGAAACCTGCATCCCTATATTCATTGCAGCACTATTTACAATTGCTAAAATATGGAAACAACATAAATGGCCAAAAACAGACCACAGGATCAAGATGTGGCATATACACACAATGTAATACTACTCAGCTATCAAAAAAGATAGATTTACGCCATTCCAGCAGCACAGATGGAGCTCAAAGGGATTATGCTCGGTAAAATAAGTCAGAAGGAAAAAGAAAAATATCAGATGGTTTCACTTATAGGAGAAACATAGGGAAACCATACAAGGGATCAGGGGAAAAAAAGACAAAACTAGCAGGCAAACTATAGATCTGAGATATTCAGCAAGGGAGGGGTAGGGAGAGGGACCAAAACAAGAGGAAAGCGCACAAGAGTCTATGGCGACTATTCATGGTCTTGATGTCTTGATGGTCTTAATTTTATGGGGACAACACCTGAGAGGAGAAATCAAACATTGTACAAAAATGAACAACAATGTAAAACTATAAAAAAAATTTTTTAAAAGATTTATTTATTTATTTATACAAGCACTGGGTACAGTCAGAAGTGCGGGAGAGTGAGAGAATTCACCAGAGCCAGAGTGGGAAACAGAACAGGCAGACTGACGAAATACACTGCTGAGGGGAGCAGCGGGCGAGGCAGGAGAGGTCTGTCCCGCCATGTGGGACCCTCGCTGGTGGCCGGGGATCGAACTGGTGCTGCAGAGGCTACGGGCAGCTACCGCTGCGCCATCAGGGGGGGCCCTAAATAAAATTATTTTAAATGGGCATTAAGTATATAAAAAAAAAGGTTTCATATGATCAGTTACCAGGGACATGCAAATAAAAATAAAACCATGATGAAATATCAGTGCACACTCACTAGAATGGCTGAAGTGAAAAAGATTAACAATATGATTGGCACTAATATGAAATAGTGACCAGAAAGACTGATAATATGGACCAACCAGAACTGGAACTTGGATATATTACTAAATTGTTACAAATTGTTACAATCACTATGAATCACTTGGGTCTACTAAAAACTACCCTCTAACCCAGCAGTTCCAGTAGTAGTTATATAAAAGCAAAACATGCAGTGGTCTTGTTCTCTGCTGTCTCTTCTCCCCGCTGATCCCATACTGCTGTTGCCATCCTCTGGCCCTCTGTCTCCTTGAGAGTGAGTACCATGCCTTCAATAAAGTTGCAAAGTTCTGATGAAGAGATATTTGAAGTTGATATGGAAATTGACAAACAATCTGTGACTATCGAGACAATGTGTTGGAAGATTTGGGAATAGATGATGAAGGAGATGATGACCCAGTTCCGCTACCAAAAATTTTTTAAAGATTTATTTATTTATGCATACAAGAACTGGGGTACTGGCCAGAGTTATGGGGGGAGAGTGAGAGGATCCACCAAGAACAGAACAGGCAGATTGACACTGCTGAGGGGAACAGTGGGCGAGTCAGGAGAGGTCTGCTGAGCCATGAGGATAGCTCCCTGGCCGGGGATCGAACTCGTGCTGCAATGGCTACAAACAGCTTCATAGGTTACCTCTTAACCCCTTGTGCCACCAGGGAGGCCCTCTTCTACCAAATGTTAATGCAGCAATATTTAACAAAAGGTCATGCAGTGGTACACCACTGCAGGGATGACCCTCCTTCTCCCCCTGAGGATGATGAGAACAAAGAAAAGCAGACAGATGATATTCCTGTTTGGGATCAAGAATTACTGGAAGTTGACCAAAGAGCACTTTTTGAACTTATTCTTGCTGCAAACTACTGAGACATCCAAGGTTTGCTTGATGTTACATGCGAGACAGTGCCAATGTGATCAAGGGGGGAACTCCTGAGGAGATTCCCCAAACCATCAATATCAAAAATGACTTCACGGAAGCAGCAGCAGGCCAGGTACCAGGGGTGTGAAGAGAAGTGAAATGCTGTGCCTGCCACTAAAACTGCAAGGATTGTTCCAAATACTAGTCACACTGCTGTTTATAATAGTTAATATTAGATAAACAGTAGACAAATGCAGCAGCCAATCAACTGTATTAGCAGAACATTAACCTCAGCACATGTGTAGTTAGAGTACAAATTCTAGACCTATGGCTGTCTCTTCTAGTATGATTAAAAGTTACTTTTTTCTTTGTTCTGAATAAAACTCAACTGCATATTATCTGTAGAAAGTGATAATCTGGGCTTTCCCTATTTTTGTAAAGTGATTCTGCCTAAATTATTGGCCAGTTAATTTTAGTGACCTTTTGAAAGATGGCATTGTAAATAAAAGCAACTTGCAAAAAGTTTTCTGAAAAAGAAGAGAAATACATGAATATGTCACACAAAAGACATGTATAAAGCTGTTTATAGTAGTTTTCTTCAAAATAGCCCCAAACTGGAAATAACTCAAATGTCTATCAACAGTGTAATGGATAAACTGTGGTACAATCATACAATGGAAAACTACAAGGAATAAAAGAGAACTGATAACATGAATGAGTATAGCAGACATGACAGTAAAGAAAATTAGAAAGAACACTAGAACACGCTTTCTGATTCCATTTCTACAAATTTCAGAGATAGGCAAAATACACTGATTATCTCTGATGATGAATACAATTAAAAAGTACAATGGAGCATTCTGGGGAGTAAAAGCATCCTATGTCTTGATCTGGGTAGTGCTTACACAAGTAATGCATTTGTGGAAATTCATCAGGCTATTATCTATAATTTGTTCACCTTAGCTTCAGTATGTTTATTTCAAAAAAGCTTTTAAAATCACAGTTTACATGTATATTCACTGAATGACTCAAACAATACTGAAAAATATAAAGTCCAACATTAATACTGTCTTCATTTCCTGCTCCACTTTCCTGTTGTCTTCCCTAAAGAGAACTATTGTGTGTAATTCCAAATTACTTTTATGCATTAAATATATATATTTAATATATACATATAAGTACTTATATATACATATAAGTACACATATATGTAACATTATATTATACACACATTCATGCTTTCAAATAATTCTGTAATTTTATTTTCACCCTAAAAATAATCTTGCAGCTCTATGTCTAATGCAAGTCAGCCCCATTTTTTAACTTCAGTGTAATGTTTCCTGGTATCAATGCAATATAATTCAGTCATTTCCTTTCTATGGATATTAGATTAGTCCATTTGAAACAATGCTGCAAAAAACAGTTCTGACTTTTCTTTGATCACACAAACAAGTATTTTGTGCTCTATGAACAATTTCTTTTTGAAATTGTTGAGTAAAAGAAAATTATAGAGGAAATATTTTGGTAAATTCTGCTTCCCAAAGAAGTCTTACAAATTACATTCTGACCAAACTGTACATGAAAATACCTGACTCTTCAGTCCTTATAAACACTGGACGTTAACCAAACTTTTAAAAGTATGCCAATTCTAAGGGGTAAAAAAATATAATTCACTGTCATTCCACTGTTATTTCAAATTATAGTTCTATTCACTGCATATCTTCTTATTTAAGTGATTATATGCTTTGCACATGTTTATATCAGGTTGTTCACATTTTCTTATTGATTTTTGATGATTATTATATATAATAAGACATGCTAATTTTTTTTCTTCGTTTGCTACCTTTAATTTTTGTTTTTCTCATCACATGGCATTGGCTAGGATTCTCAACACAATATTAAAAAAAAAACTAATGGAAAAGCTTTAATATTTCAGTAGGTATGATGCTTGTGATTGCAGATATCTTCATTAAAATAGAGAAGTTTCTACTTCTGGTTGCTAAAGTGGTTTTCTTTCTAATCAAAAATAGGTGTCAAATTATATCAACTGCCTTTTTTGCATCTCTTAAGATAATTATTATCTTTTTTTCTTTCATTTGAATATAATGATTTGCATTAATATATTCTGAATTTTGAATAAGTCTTGAACACCTTGGCTAAATTCTACTTAATGATGACATTTAAAAAATACATTTCTGATTCATTTTGCTAGCACTTAGGATTTCTGTACCTGTGTTTATAAATGTGGTATGCTTTGTTTGTCAAGTTTTAAAATCTGGGCCAAGTCAGTCCCCATATAAATGACTTAGAAAACTTCCTAATGTCCCATGTACTGGGTTAACAATAGATCATGGAGCTTATCTGCTCCTTACTGGTAGGACCATCTGTGTTCGTTATCTTTTATTACAAGAATTAAGGTTTTGACTGCCTTTTAATGTCTTCAGTGTGTTTTGTTGTTGTTTGCTCTTTTAAGATGTCTCCCTTTGGATCAAAATTGGTAACCTACTTTCTAGAAATCATTTTAATCTAGATTTTTGTAATTTATTAGCTTAAATTTAGTATTTATCGCAGACGTTTAGAATCCACCCTGTGCCAATAGTTTTATTGCCTTCTCATTTGCAATGTTAATAATAATTCATTCTTTCTCCCCTTAATCAGACATTTTAGGGCCTCCCTGGTGGCACAGTGGGTTGAGCGCAGTGCTGTGAAGCTGCCTGCGGCCTTTGCAGTGCCAGTTTGATTCCCAGCCGGCCAGGGAGATTACCACATGGCGTGGCAGACCTCTCCTGTTGCGCCCACTGCTCCCCTTAGCAGTGCTTTCCATGGTCTGCCTATTCTGCTCCCTGCTCTGTCTCTGATGAATTCTCTCACCCTCCCATGCCTCTGGCCTGTACCTCAGTTCTGGTATAAATAAAAATCTTAAAAAAAAAAAATCAGACATTTTAGATTTTTGACATCTTTAGTTCTTTCCAAAGAATCAGCTTTAGTTGTATTCAAATATACTTTTCTCCCTCTTTATTTCATTCATTTCTAGGTTTTTCTTTAGTAATACTTTATATATCTTGCTAATTTTTTTCATATAGCTTCTTCAGCTGTGTGCATGCTTTACTTCTATAAATCTGTTCCTATTTTTTAATATACATATTCAAGGTCATATTCTTTCTGAGTATATGTAGATTTCAATTTGTGTTAATCTCTTGTCCTTCTTGTTAGAGTAGTTAAATATATCAGCTCTGGGCCATATTATCTAGGTTCAAATCCTAGCTATGGCATTATGGACAGTGTGCCCTTAGGTATGTTATTTAGAGTTTTGTATTTCAGTTCCTCATTTGTGAAATGAGATGATAATAGAGCCAACCAACTTCTCAGGATTATTGTGAAAATAAAATAAGACAACCCATGCAGATCAGTTACCATGATGCTGGTTGCAGTAATGTTTAATAAAGTTTAGTTATGGTTATTTCCAAATAATTGACAGCCTAATTTAAAATTTCATTAAAGTTATTTAAAATTAGTTATTTGAAAGTGTTTTATTTCTAACTTTATAAAAATTGTTCCTTTTTGTTTATTAATTCCAAATTTCATTGCAGTGTGATCAAAGACTGTGACCTGAATGATCTCCTGTCTGGGAATTTATGAATATTTTCTTTGGGTTTTAGCAGCTAGTTAATGTTGCATGTGTTTGAAGAGATTGTGCATTCACTGTTGATTGTTACAATAGTCCTTTACAGCTATTCAATCAAGCTTCCTTATTATATTATTCAAATCCTCTCTGCCCTGACTTTTTTTCCTACTTGATCTGTCAATTTCTGAAATATATGCTGAATATTTCCAAAGGTATTGTGTATTTTTCATTCTTCCTTATATTTTCATCAGTTTTTACCTTATAAGTTGTATTATAAATATGACTTTTGATGTTATATTGTAAGGTGTATAATAGTTCATTATTAATAGAAATTAATTGTATCTTTCACAAAAATTTTTT